AGCGGATTCACCGACCAATCGGAGGGCGCTGCGTTTGCCGATCGCTATGCGCATTGGGAAATGCCGGAAATGCGTACGTCACAGGTCAACAGAAATGGCGCTCAGTATATTCGCCGCTCGTCACTTCGAATTTTTGTAACAGGTTATATTAGTTTAATACAGAGTTTTGCGATACATTGTAAGTTCCCGAATAGCGGAGAAAGGTTCGTGTTTAGAATAAACCCAGTTTGGAAGTTCTAGTATCTGAAAACGCACCAGCAAACCGGCCCGAGTGATTCACTCGGGCATTCCTCCGCAGAAAAGGATAGGGACACTTTGTAACCCTATCCTCTTGGGTTTGGGTTACATTATTGTATCTAGCGCTATTGGTACGAGCAGTTGTTGCGCATGCGCTGTTCATGTTGTATTACATAAATGTAATATAATGCTAGTCTAGGGATGCGCCTACTCCCTAACAATAACCCTAATCCCAACCCTAACACTAAATATTAACCGACTCGGTTCGCTAGCAAAACGCTACGGGCCCCCAGCCTAAATGGCAAAAAATCATAAATCTAAAGGGTAAATAGCATTTTAGAGCGTCTAGATTTAAATTTATGTGATTGATTTGATTCGAGATAAAAAAAAATGTGCTCACGGCCAGCTAGCTACTAGGGGAATCAGCTGCTAGCTAGCTGGCCGTGAGAACATTTATTTTTAGCACGCTGGAAACGCTGCACGCTGAATACAATTCGATGCCTAATATCCCTTACAGCCCCCAGCGTACCGTCATAGACAATAGAACACTAATCCCATATCAAAGTTTGGTCTAAAACATGCATCCATGCGTGAAAACTGTGCGAAACTATGTCGTATTCAAATAACTTTTTTGAAGAACACATACGATTTTCAGGTAAATTTATGGTGTCATATGATTAAGGGAGAATCATAGACGAAAACAAGGTAAAGTTTGAATATATTTATTCACATATTGATAGAATATTTACAAGTTGAAAACTATGCAAAACGCTGTTAAAACCGTGTCATACTCTTCTCTATTATGTACTCTTGATAACATCTATAATAACATACATTTGACTTGACAAATGAAAACTGACATTAACTGTAACAATTGAGTAAAAACTGACAAACAATACATATAAATGTAAAGCAGCATTCAGTGCAAAACCATATTCAAATATAAACAATAGAAAAATGGAAGAAATCCTAAACATCATATATAACAATGAATGTATGTAATAATTTATAGGAAAGCTAGCAATTTACAGATCAAAAAACAACAACAAGCTAACAAGTTAAGATTGCAAGCAATACATAAAACGCCAAGTAAAGGAATAACTCGGAAAACTTTCCAAATTGAAAACAAGTAACTGAATTTTGTCAAATCATTACCACACTCAACTAAATGCTATGTAAAAAAGTGTAACTTAATTAGCATATATTACTAGATGAAAAATAGTCTAGGAAATAGTTCTGCATTTAAACATGCATTTAGAAGAAATAAATAAATATCTTGTAGAAGTATTATTTGAAAAATAGCAATTACATGCCAGAGTGTTACAACAATCGCGTAAAAATAACTAGAAATGACATCATGATAAACATAGAGAACTAGTTAATCACGACCCGGATATGTTCGTCATAAAGAGATATACTGTTGTAGCATGTTGAATTTATATTTATAGCTGAACTGTTTAATTGTACGTGATTTGTAAATTACAGATAAGTCATTCCAAAGTTTAACTCCAGCCGATTTAATGGATTTAAAACCAGTATTTGTTGATACTCTAGGAGTAAAGTATAAATTGTTAGTTGCTGCTCTTGTCTGGTAATGATGAGAGTCTGAAATTCTTCTAAAATAATTACAGAATAATTCAGGGAGAATACCTGCATTGAATTTAAACATAAATTTACCTAGCTCTAAATTATAAATGTCGATTTATAGGGAGACTGAAGCTCCTGTATCATGTATGCTAGTAGTAGTACTACTACTAATAGTAATACTACTAGTACTAGTAGTAGTAGGGCTCAAGGATAGAAAGCATGTACTAGTACTAGTACTGCTGAGAGGGTCTATGTCCCCCGGGGTACTGCCGGAACGTACCCTGGTACTATCTAATATGCCGGACCGTACCTCGTCTACTCCACTAACGAGTCTAGGGAGTCGCCTACGCCTACTCCCTAACCCTAACCCGAACCCTAACCCTAACCCTAACCCTAACCCTAATCCTAACCCTAACCATATCAAATAGTGACCAGGGTACGTTCCGGTATACCGGACCGTACCCAGGGTACGGTCCGGCAGTACCCTGGGGGACATAGACCCTATGAGCACTAGTACTAGTAGTAGTAGTAGCCTACTGCTCAGATTGGGCCCACACTACACAGTACACGGTAGGCCTAGAGTGGCATTTGTATTTCAGACGTCATTGATTTGCATTTTTACTTTAGGTAGCAAATTATTTGCCATCTATTAGTGCAGCTATTGGAGGGTACACGCCACAGCGGTACATCTGGAGGATTGCCATAGCGTTGCACTCTTCACCCCGTTTGCTTGTGGCCACAATATACTACAACTATTACAGGTGTCACTTTGTCTATGTCTACAAAGTTGAAATATTCTGAATATTGAATCATTGCGTATTCTATGGTAACATATTTATCTTATAGTTAATGGGGGTGAAATTGGAATTTTATGTGCTGTGAGATCATGTACATGTCGCAGTGAACCTATATTCCTAATTCCAATCGTGGTTATCGTTATGTAACAAGGCATTGCTTAACATAGTAACCAAAATGCTGTATCCTGGCAGTTGAAACGTTCCAAGCTTGCTCTGTCAATCGTACGTGAGATGTGTTCTTGCATAAACTGATTGCCTGAGAAGTTCCCATTTCCATCCCATCTTTGGTAGTAAGTAGTGCACTCAATACTACCACTAATATACACAAAGCCAATTAGTTTGCTTTAAATATATATATATCCTAGTATGCACAGAGAGTGAGATAGAGATGTTGCTGACATTGCGAATAAACTGTAAATTGTTTCTTTTCTAGCTCGATGTTTGAAGGTAGCAAGCCTCATGCCTATCATAGCATTATGCAAACCAATTTTGTCTCATATATTCTGGAAGTGGTTTCTTTGGTTGGATTGACATACATATCATCAACAGAAGACAGGCGTATGTATTCAGTACCTTAATTCAGGCTTTGATGTGATTAAAGTATTCACAACATAACAGATTGCTTTCCATGCAATGTCAGTGATCCCAGTGATTCAATTGTATTCAAGCGGCAACTTATTATATACTGCGGGTAATTTTCTGCACTGTTATTTCTACTTGGTTTTTGCACTGTTTTCAATCACAGTTTTCACTAATCAAATATGTTAGGAGACTCTACCAATGCCAAGTAAAAAAAATATATATATACTGTATACGCTGTGTATTTCGCGGTGGTTAAATTTTCGCGAATTTCGCAAAGGCGTCCCCGACCACAAAAATAACAACACGCGAATAATTCATAATTCACTGACTGCGAAATTAACCACTCGCGAAAATGTCCGTCAAATCTGAATTTGCGAAAATATCTGTACGCGAAAAATATGGCATATATAGTAGCAGGTATAAAAAAAACACGTTAGTTGTCATGACTTATGTTGCTATTCCTTGTCATTAGGGTTGTGTGACGAATCATTCGCATCCATAACCAGCTGTGCAAGTCCATCAGCCATATATGATGAAAATGTCATTTTGTGTGTTTGGTAAACATGGTGTAACATTATGTTATTTTCTATTTGCAGTTATTCATGAGGTTATGTTTACTACGTTTGTGGCCTCAGCACTGATGTATTTTGCATGCACATGTGCATTATTTAGACTGACCCATGGAAAACACCTCGCAGGACTGGTATGTCTGATGCAGTTTTATAAAATCTGAAAATCTGTATTTACTTGCAAAGTGAGAGTAAGTAGTTAACATAACAGCACCTTTCATGCTCAGAAGTCAAGTACAAGTACAAGTATACAGATATCGATGAAATAGGTTGTTTATTAGTACAACGATAACTTCAGATTCTAAATTATTTATCATGGCCTTACGCATAAAACGTGTTCAAACTTTAGCAACATTATCTTGTCACAAACACTAAAAAGTAATTTTACATGGTCCAGTAATTAGGCCAGGTAATACATTTTAAAGTGTCATTTGTGACGATTTTAACATCTAATGAATTACTTTGTGGTTTGTTATTGTAGATAGGGATTTCATATAAGTACAAGGTGAACTGCTCATTGGTCAATGTCTCGGCTTTATTGTCTGCCATGTATCTCTACTACAGACATAATGCTTATTGTGAACCTGGTGGTAAGTTTTGTATAATGTGAAAATTCTTTTACTCGACACTATATATATAAATGAATCACTAGCACTGCTGTTTCACTTTATATTTAACAAATCCTATACAGCTATGATTTCTTCAGTCTTGTAGGTGTGTGCGTGCATGTGTGCATTTATACAATAGCAGTGTAAAATTTATAGGTTCCCATAAATTCGTTTTAAACGAAATTCAGCTCAGCATCCATGTTCAATTGACCAGTAACAATATCACAGATTGTGTAGGTGGTTGATTTGGTATCAATTTCCAGCTCAATTTTTTTTGTTTTGTTTCAGTTTACACGCTGTTCGCTTTCTGTGAGTATATGGTGGTACTGTCTAACATGGGTTTCCACATGACTGCTTACCTCGACTTTGGGGAGAAAGAATTTACTCTTGAAAATATCAGGATCAATGATTATAACATGATGACAGATGCCAACCTGAAAGGCAGTTGACAGTTACTATAATATGTCTACAGTGATGAGATGATACTATGAGGTACATCTACACTTCGATATATATATATATATCTGGAGTAGATAATAGGGAAGGAGTGTGACATCAATAAACAAGGGAAATTCGTCATTTACTAGCCTTAAAATACCTACGATTTACTACGCGTAACTCAACCAACTTGAGCTCAAATCGTACACAGTACATCCGCCTAGCATCGTGCGAATTCGTGTTCCTGGATTAGCGACACGCCCGCAATCGGCGACTACGACGGTAAAACATACGACACGATTTTACAACTTCTGTTGCAGCGTAAAATCCATGCGCGTTGAGCAAAGTCCTATTGAAACAAAAGGCAGCGTTACTATGCACAGCTGTCCACGGCTTGCGCTCATTGGAGAGGCGCGGTGGCTCGGCAGTCGGAGAGATTAGACATCGACGCAACACTCGTGCAGCTAACCTTTGCTGCTGACCTATTTACCAGCTGTATGCACACCCCCTACCCACCGGCAATGCAGCAGGCAGGTGTAAACCGACCGCACAATAGCACATCATGAGTCTATCAAGTAAACAGTAGAAAAGTATCGACTCGCTCGTGTGCGTCTAATGGTTGACGTCAGATGTCCAATCGCCTCGCGAGCGCACCAGCGCTGCGCCGGGGACGGCAAGCGGTGGACAGTGGGTTATAAGCGCTTGTTGTTCAAATAGCTTCTCAACGCATGAGATTTTGCTGCAACAGAATTGAAAAATCGTGTAGGTACGTTTTAGTCTGTATCCTGGATTGCGGGTGTACACGAGGAAACGATTTCGCACCGATGCTAGGCGGATGCTACTGTGCTACAATTTGAGGCTCAAGTTCGGTTTGCGTTACGCGCTAGTAAATTGTAGTATTTATAGGTTAGGTACAGATGACAGAATTTCCGCAATGTTTATTGATGTCACACCCTCCCTTTATGCACTCTGATATTATATGTTATATATATATATATATATATATATATATATATACGTGAATGTTGTTTAGAAATAAAATGCCACAATTATTTCATGCCTTAGATCATTAACTGTCTAACTCACACCATGTGTATGGTTATGTTGGATAGACACCAAACATGCATATCTGCATATTCTGATATTACTGAGGATATACCCTTGTGTTTTCATAATTCTTATTGTGTGCTATTTGTAGAAGAGCATTGACATTATAAAACTTGTGGGGGCTGATACCTATTACCTCAGGGGTGGTAGCAAATATTGTGTATGATAATTATTTAATTAGGATATATGTTGGTTAAATTTAATGAATAACTTAATGTACAGTCAGGTTTGGTAAAATATATGAGTGTGTATCTAATAATTGTACATGTGTTCTACTAAAAATACATCATTACTAAATTTGTACAAAACGCCTCTAAGTGCAAAAGAATTGCTGATTTCAAAAATTACCTACTGTGTATTTTGGTAGATAGGAGTGTGAAAGCAGGCTATTATATGCCTTCATTAGAGCACTCACAATAACGATGACAATAGGAATTCGGGAATAAACAGGCTTTATTCTGAGACGATTCACTACACCGGCTAACTCACACAAATGGCCGAACAACAGAGAGAGAGAGGGTGCATCGCGCAGGAATCTCACACCCCTGCACATGGTGAGGTTCATGCTGAGTACGGATCTTACGAGGGGGTGCCACTGTAGGTCGTGTGACTGATCAAAATGGCGGAACCAATAAAAATGTGCTGCCACTGAGTGAGAACCAATGAAAATGCGCCGCCACTGAGTGAGAACTAATCAAATTGTGCCGCCACTGAGTGAGAACCAATGAAAATGCGCCGCCACTGAGTGAGAACTAATCAAATTGTGCCGCCACTGAGTGAGAACCAATCAAAATGCGCTGCCACTAAGTGAATGTGATCAGGAATCTCACATATCCCACACATGCTGAGTTTTCAGTCTTGTGAGACCAAAATTATCAAACACGACAGAAATTTTCCTCACCGCCTCGCGAGACCGAAAACTCACATAAATCGACCCGGCACACGGTGAGATTCGTGCTGAGCATGAAACTCACGCTCCGTGCTCAACACGAATCTCAGCGTGTGCGCCAGACATTACTTCTTTCACCCTGCTGTCCATCTCTGTAAAAACGTGGAATTCTTTTAGCCATATAGCAAACATGCAGCTGTTTACACTGTAGCCATTGTTGCATTGTCATGTTGTGATTTCAAATTAGACTTTTAATCGTTCTTTCCTATTCTTATTGACCTCGTGTTTTTTCTGTATATGTAGACGACCCTATATAGTCTAGGCTCTGGGGGGGGTGTTCGTGTACATGACTCTTTTAGAGCGAAACCTTATATTTTCTCATTCCGTATGGTAAGACTCTCAAAAAAAGTTTGGGTAACACTTCTGGGTCAAGTACGTTTTTTCTGTACAGCTAATTATGTGATTTTGGGTTAGGCGCCAAAGTGAAAAAATGACAATATTGAAGTTTCAGAGCATAAATATTTAATAAGCAACCATAAACTTTCAAGTTGCACTGAATTACATTGAATGAGTATTACTAATAACTTTCTAGCATGATTTGTTGCCATAAACTTTGTTTCATGGTACGAAATTGCTACATTTTGCTCAATTTTAGCCAAAAAATAGCCAAAAATCGCGTTCACTTTGAAAGACAGCTCTAAGTATGATTGCTTCTCACTCACCCAATATTGTAGCTAGAGCTACCAAAATTGGCTAAAAGTTTCCGTATTAAGTGCTCTAAGTGACCCAACCTTCAAAATGATTCTTCTCCGCTCTATATGATGCACAGGGGGCTATTGTAACTCAGGGTCAATCCTACCCTCAAATAGCGCCTTTTGCGAATGTCGTCAAATGATGATAACTCTGTAAGTAAGTGACATAGGAGGTTGATTTTGTGGCAACATATAGGTTTTTTGATACCAAGGAATTGATTGACACCATTATTATACATTTTGGAGTTCACCTAATTAGAAGAAGTATAAGATGTCTGCCAAAAGCGATAATTAAGACACGAATTGTCCCATAGAAAGATGATTGAAGGATATACATGCATCATAGAACTGTACAGGTGGACGCTTTAGTGAAAAATAATGCCTAGGTATAAACTAGTCTAAAATATTCCTTGTTACCATACTCAGTTATAAATATATAAAATGTGTCTACCTTAACCGAACTTGAGACAAGAACAACTGAACCGAGCATGCTAGACAACATAGCAGAACCCAACCTAATCCTATCAAACAATTGGGTTTTTACAATCATGTGGTAATGCTTTCCTCCACTTGCAAAATTTACCACATTTTACCCCAGCCTTTCTACATGGGCAATTTGACCTTGAACACTTAGCACATGAACAGGAGACTGACCAATGAGGCTCGAGGGTTTTCCACGATGTTGCGGGTACCAGCTGTTCTGGGTCTTTCACATAGCCACAATCCTCTGGCTTCAGTGTCTCAACGTTTTCAGGGTTGAGGTGGCACTCCAAGGCATGGTTGATAGTGTAGGCATTGTAGAATGCGCGCTTGATGAGGCAGGAGTCCCTGACTAGTCGGTGGTAGGCTGTGGAGAGAACCCTCTTTGCTGAAGTGAAAAACCTCTGCTCGATATTCAGAGAAACACTTAGCATTGCTACCTCTTTTCAGTACCTTCACTAAGTAATGCTCGGCGTTGCAGGTCATGGCTGGAGAGAGGGTTGGTGATTGCCCGAAGTGTTTCAGCAACTTTTCAGGCTTTGCCTTTAGAGCTGTTTTTTTGTACCAACTTTGCTGGTTATGTCACACCCTGTAAGACTGTGTATAGCCCGCAGTACTGCACAGAGNATGTTGCGGGTACCAGCTGTTCTTGGTCGTTCACATAGCCACAATCCTCTGGCTTCAGTGTCTCAACGTTTTCAGGGTCGCGGTGGCACTCCAAGGCATGGTTGATGGTGTAGACATTGTAGGATGCACGCTTGATATGAGTCAGGAGTCCCTGACTAGTCGGTGGTAGGCTGTGGAGAGAACCCTCTTTGCTGAAGTGAAAAACCTCTGCTCGATATTCAGAGAAACACTTAGCATTGCTACCTCTTTTCAGTACCTTCACTAAGTAATGCTCGGCGTTGCGGGTCATGGCCGGAGAGAGGGTTGGTGATTCCCCGAAGTGTTTCAGCAACTTTTCAGGCTCTGCCTTTAGAGCTGTCTTCTTTGTACCAACTTTGCTGATTATGACACACCCTGTAAGACTGTGTATAGCCGGCAGTACTGCACAGAGCCGATTACCCAGGCACTGGAACAGGGTATGAAGGGGTATATATATCGAGTTGTATCTCCCATTCCAGCTCGCACCCACAGCGACTCAAGGTTGTGTTGGTGAAAGACGGGCATGTAGTAGAGCAGAGCAACAATAACATCTGTATCGTTGGAGATTACAACACACACTTTGTGTCCTGCATTGAGAGAGTCCAAGACGTGGATGAGTATTCGGAGGTCAGCTTCTTCAAATGACGATTTAAGGTGTGGCAATGCTTTCTCCAGGCCTTGATGGACCATGATGCACTGCCAATCCTCGTCTTTTTGGTCACTTGTCCGAGTACAGTGGGATATTGTAATGTTTCTGAAGTATTTGAACGAAGATGGCAGTAGATTAGCTTCTCGAGAAGAAGCTTATTCATGTTTGACGGCCAGAATCTCTCCATCTCCTTTGGCAGAGGTGTCTCTGGTTCAATTGAACTGTACTCTATTGGTACAGTTTTAGTGCGCCTCTTTCTCTCACTATCATTCACTGAGGGTTTATCTGAGTACATGTCGAACACATAGTCACATCGCCCGAACTGATGGTATACATCCGAAATGGATACAAATCCTAAGAGGAGATCCTTGAAGCTGGAGAGGCTATAGTCACACGAACCTTACGAACTGTGGCCATTATGTCTATGACATATAAAGTGTTCTTCCGATGTCTATAGTCATAGTCCTCAGGTTTGAGATTAGCCTCCAACTCCTTAATCAACAGGCTCTTCCTTGGGCTGACCATCGTCCCGTCCTCATTGAACAGTAGAGGTGAAGGTGCAACATCATATTTCAAGAGGTCCGTGGTGGTGAGGCCACGATCACGTGCGATTTCAAT